GTTGACAACGTGACGGGGCAACAGAGGTAATGAATAATTGAATGTATGCGAACAAAATATTGGTGGCCACGTGAGACGTGAATTATAATGTTGTTATAGAGCGACTGTTGAGATTAAGTGTATCGTAAAGTTGTATTCGGAAAGAATAAACCAGTTTTATTTAAGAAAGGACTTGTGTCGCTAAAGTTTCGTGGGAACGAAGTTACGAAAAAATTAACTAACGACTGGAGGTGTAACAATCTATATAAAGAAATGGCACTACCTTTCGAATATATATATATATATATATATATATATATTGTATTTGTCTTCAATATAGATATTAATGCAAGTTTAAAATTAAATTATCTCTAATTTCATTCCTTGATGGTGCACTGTTAAACACTAGGGCTTTTTAATGCTAATTTGAAGATATTCGATTCCTGAAGTGGATACAGCACAAATAGCACATTGGGAATCTTTGTGTGTAACAACATACAAATAAATCGTCATGGTTAATGACATATATGTTTCACGTTTCTGCCTCTCGACATTTTCTACTTAAGCTTTTTTGTTTTAGCGCAAAACTACACAGAGCATATATAGGCTCCACCCACCACGAGGAATCAACCCCTAGATTTTAATAAGTCCATAAACTTACTGCTGAAACACCTGGAGACTTTCAAATTGAGATGATGCAACATTTCATTAACGCAGAATACTTTTCACATTCTATTCATTAGCCAAATGCCAAGAAAATAGTGACAATAATTTAAAAACATAACTGTCTATTTTGTTGTTTGTTGAGTCTTTTGCAATCAACAGTGTTCTTGTTAAATTTTACGTGCTAATTTCATTGCTTCAAAATTTTATTATTCATAGTAGGGAAAGAAACACGTTAAGTTCAAATTAAACACTTAAAAAACGCCCTGGTTATTATTAATATTGTTACGTATCTGCTTGTTTGATAATTTCCGGTATAAATTCTTTCCGAGGAACTTCAGCAATACAAGTCCTTTCTTGATTAACTCACTTTATTCGTTCTGGATACAAACTTTTATACACAGTAATTCCACTGCCAGTACGTTTCTCGTCACTTTAAACTTAAAAACTTTTATAATACACACTATAAATCACAGCTATTCACAATCTCGATAACTTCCTCTCGACGAGAACAAAACACACACTTTATTATTTCTTCCGAAAAACCGTAACTACTGTTCGCTTAACTATACATTTAATCCTGCAGGCTTTCGCTGCCAGGCTTAAATACTGTTAGGACAGCGGAAGTCACGCGACGCTTGGAGCATGCGCACTGGAGTTTCTAGAAGGATCATGACTTATCGGGGAACCTAATGAATGTTCCAGTGTTTGCTAGACGCCCTCTTTTTTAGTATATAAGCCAGCGATAGATAGATATGCAGACAGATATAGAGATATATAATTGAGTCAAGCAAGCAGTAGGCACCGTAAGTAAAGTGTGTGAATCAATGTGATTTATAGCATGTGTTCATAAAAGTAGTTAAGTTTAAAGTGACTGTAGAAATTAAGTGTATTACAAAGTTTGTAACGAGAAAGAATAAACTAGTTTAATTAAGAAAGGACTTGTATTGCTGAAGTTTCTCGGAAAGAATTTATATGGGAAATTAACAAACAAGCAGAAGCGCAACAAATTTGTGTCAGAAGTGGGATGTAAAAGGAAAAAAAGAAGAAGAAGAAGATGGAAACGAGAGGTGGCAAATAAAACTACAGCGTAGCAGATTTCAGGGCAGCAATACAAGAATAGCAAAAGAAACAATTAGCCATCAACTTAATCAACCCCCAGACAACGACAAGTCCCTTCCAGACCCCGCAGCTAAACCCTAATGCAGACATCTTGAGTCCTGTTAGAAGTTACATCACAGACACAAAGTATACTTGGCTGACATTGAAGACCAATGCATATTAGGGTTGGACTAATTACTACCGAGGAAGTGTGTAATTAATTTTGATAAAATGACGTTTGGGAACAACAAAGGCCAAATTCCGGTAAGCGTTAAAAGAGAGGTTGAACTAACCAAGTGCCATCAAGTTGAAGTCAAAGTGACTGAAGTAGTTGATGTTGGTGAAGTGGAACCAGGTATAGATATTAAAGTAGAGCAGGAGAAAGATCAA